CACTAGATGGAACCATCTCCCCTAGATTACAGGCATGCTAGGCCAGCCGTTAACTGCTGCTGAATTATAAAGGGCATTAGTGGCAAGCATACAGAACGAATGAAATGGGATTAGGGCAGTGGGTGATAATTAGAAAATATTTTAGACAAATAAAATAGTATAGGAAATAATATAACAAAGAGATGACTTCACACACCACTGACATAAGAAATAACCTTTACAATAACAGTTGGGGCCACTGTGACTTGCTTTCCAAGTGTATCAAGTCCCACCTCCTACCAGTCCTAAATTAACAACTATTCTTAATTTGTTTTTTATATTTTCCATGTGTTTTTGGATTCATAAAAAATTAGTATTGTTTTACATGTTTTAAAATTATATATACATGGTATAATATTATATGTATTCCTCTGTTGACATTAGCCAACATTATGAAAACTGGGAGATTCACCCATGTGGATATATTTCACTTTAGTTCACTAATCTTCAGACAGTGGTCCAGTCTATGAATATACCAATATTTATTTATCTATTCTCTAGTAAATGGAAATTTAATTTTGTTTCCATCTTTTTCTTCTCCATTAAAACAATACTCCTGTAAACATTCTTGTAGTTGTTTCCTAGTGCACATGTAGAAAATATTTCTTGGACGTTGAACTACTGAGTCATAAAGTACTGGATATTCCAAATTGTTCTCCAAAACAACTGTTCATGTAAGAAATATATCCCTGATTACACAGTCATGAATACATGTGCTTATACGTTCTTCGAAAAGTTTTATAGATTTGCTTTTTTTTTTCTTTTCTTTTTTTTTTGAGATGGAGTCTCACACTGTCACCCAGGCTGGCCGATCTCAGTTCACTGCAACCTCCACTTCCTGGGTTCAAGCGATTCTCCTGCCTCAGTCTCCTGAGTAGCTGGGATTACAGGCATGCACCACAACGCCCAGCTAATTTTTTTGTATTTTTGTATTTTTGTATTTTAGTATTTTGCCATGTTAGCCAGGCTGGCCTAAATCCTGACCTCAAGTGATCCTCCCACCTTGGCCTCCCAAAGTGCTGGGATTACAGGTGTGAGCCATCACGCCCAGCCGGTTTACTTTTCACAGTAAGTTTAATATGCCTTATTTTTGTAAAATTCACTTACTTTATAAAATTATTTTTGCTAAAATTCAGTATTTGATTGCAAGTCTTTTGTGTGTTTTTCTAGGTAAATTTACAAACATTCAATTGTACAAATCTTAAATTACTTCATCTTACGTATGCCGATTGATAAGTCTGGTAAGTACATATACTCAGATAACCTAAATCTTTTTTTTTGAGGCAGAGTTTCACACTTGTTGCCCAGGCTGGAGTGTAATGGCACGATCTTGGGGCACTGCAATCTCCACCTTCCGAGTTCAAGTGGTTCTCCTGCCTCAGCCTCCCAAGTAGCTGGGATTACAGACATGCGCCACCACGCCTGGCTAATTTTGTATTTTTGGTAGAGACGGAGTTTCTCCATGTTGGTCAGGCTGGTCTTGAACTCCCGACCTCACGTGATCCACCCGCCTCAGCCTCCCAAAGTGCTGGGATTACAGGCGTGAGCCACTGCACCCAGCCAACCTAAATCTCTATCAAAACACAGAACATGTCCATCAATCCAGATAGTTCCACCATGTTCTTTCTTTGTAAATCCCCAACAAACCACTATCTTCCTACCCCAAGCAAATATTATTCTCATTGTGTCACCACAGATTACTTTTACTTCCTCAAAACTTCGTATGAATGGAACCATACAAATATAAACCTTTTTACATAGGCTTCTTCAACTCAGCATAGTATTTGTGAGATTTATCTGTGTTGTTGCAAGTAACAATAGCAATATGAATATACCCCAGTTAATTTATCCTTTCTCCAATTCCATTTTTCAGCTACTAACATTCCTGTAACAGGTCTTTTGACAAGCTATATTTCATTTGTCTTGGGTAAATCCCTAAAAGTGTAGAACTACTTGGTTAAAGGGTAGATATATGTTTAGTTTTATAAGAAGCTAGCAGACCTTTTTCTAAAGTGATTATACCATGTTACACTCCCATGAACAATGTATGAGAGTTTCAACTGCTTCACATTCTAGCTAATACATGTTATGCTTACATTAATAATATAAGAAAGTTCCAACTGCTCTACATTCATGCCAATATATGGTATCAGTTTTTTGTATTTTAGTCATTTTACATTTTAGCCATTTAGGTGTGTAGGGGTATCTCACTGTGGCTTTAATCATTTTCCTGATGACTAACGATGTTGAGTATCTTTTCATGTGCTTATTAACCATCAATATATATTCCTTTGTGAAGTATCTTAAAATTTTTTTACCTTTTTAAAAATTGAGTTAGCTTTTTGCTACTGAATTTTAAGAGTTCTTCATAATCTTCTAAATATAAGTCCTGTGTCATGTATGTTTTGTAAATATGTTCTAATCTGTGGCTTGCCTACTAAAGTTATTGGTGGTGCCTTTTTCTTTCTTTTTTTTTTTTTTTTGAGATGGAGTCTCGCTTTGTCACCCAGGCTGGAGCACAGTGGTGCGATCTTGACTCACGGCAACCTCCATCTCCCGGGTTCAAGTGATTTTCCTGCCTCAGTCTCTCGAGTAGCTGGGATTCAGGCACCCATCACGATGTCCAGCTAATTTTTGTATTCTTAGTAGAGACGGATTTTCACCATATTGGTCAAGCTGGTCTAGAACTCCTGATCTCAGGTGATCCACCTGCCTCAGCCTCCCAAAATGTTGGTATTACAGGCGTGAGCCACCACACCAGGCCAGTGGTGCCTTTTGATGAGTGAAAATTAATTTTGAGGTAATACGTGAGATGAAACTAAGGTTCATTTTTTTTCATACGGATATCCACTTATTTCAATACCATTTATTGAAAACATTGTCCTTTCCCTAAGAAATTTTTTTGAAACCTTTCTGGGCTCTCTATTGCATTCTACTGATCTATTTTTCTGCCCTATGCAAGCACCCCACTGTCATGATTCTGTAGTTTTATATTTAGTCCTGAAGTTGGATTATACAGTCCTTTAACTTTATTTTCCAAGATTGCTTTAGATATTCTAGATTCTTCATTTCAATTTGAATTTCTGAATCCAATTGTTAATTTTTACCAAAAAAAAGCCTGCTGGGATTATACATCAATTTGGAAGAAGTGATATCTGAAAATATCAAGTCTTACAATACATGAACATAGTATTTCTCCGTTGACCGAGTACTTTAATTACTCTAAGCAATGTTTTACCGTTAACAAAAACTCCTTTTATGAAGCTCATCTCTAAGTAGATTTTTTAAAGCTATTATAAATAAAACCTTTTATTTCATTTTCCAATTGCTTGCATGTATATAGAAATGTAATTAATTTTTATACTGACCATGTATCCTATACTTTGGTAAAACCATTATTAATCATAACTGTTTTGTATATTCCTTAGAATTTTTCTATATAAACAATCATATCTTCTATCAATAGGGAGAGTTTTACTTCTTTCCATTTTCTAGAATTTTCTATAAGATGTTAAATAGAAGTGGTAGACATCCTTGTCTGGCTTCTCATCTAATCTTAGGAGAAAAGCATTTAACATTTTGAATATTTAATATTATGTTAGTTATAGGTTTTTCATGGATAACTTTTTAACAAGTTCTCTTCTATTCCTAATTTGTTCATAGTCTTTCTCACAAATGGGAATGGATTATGTCAAATACTTTCTCTGCATCTACTGAAATGCTTACATAGTTTTTCTCTGCTGTTAATGTGGCAAATTACAGTGATTGATTTTCTAAGATTAAACTAATTTTGCAATTCTGAGTTAAATTCAACTTTTTTTTTTTTTTTTTTTTTTTTGAGATGGAGCCTTGCTCCATCACCCAGACTGGAGTGCAGTAGCGTGATCTCCACTCACTGCAACCTCTGCCTCCCAGGTTTAAGTGATTCTCCTGCCTCAGCCTCCCAAGTAGTTGGGTTTACAGGTGTGTGCCACTATGCCTGGCTAATTTTTGTATTTTCAGTAGAGATGGGGTTTTACCATGTTAGTCAGGCTGGACTCAAACTCCTGACCTCAGGTGATCCACCCGCCCTGGCCTCTCAAAGTGCTGGGATTACAGGTGCGAGTCACCGTGCCCAGCTTAAATTCAACTTTATCAAATACATTGCTAGATTCTATTTGCTAATATCTCATTAATGATTTTTACACCTATTTTCATAAAGGATAATAATCTCTAATTTTCTTATAATGTCTTTGTCAGATTTTTGCATCACAATTATGCCGGTCTCCTAAAACTGACAGGGAACTGTTCCTTACTCCTCTATTTTCTGAAAGAATTTATGTAAGACTGGTGTTATTTCTTCCTTAAATATTAACAGTTTTCACTAATAAAAGTATCTAGGCCTAGAAATTTTTATTTAGGATATTTGCCTGTATGTTAGTAAGTAAGACTGGTCTATATACTTTCTCTTCTCAAAATGTTCTTGTCCAATTTTGACATCATATTTATACTATCCTCATTGCTAAGGTTTCAGTGTTTGTGTCTCATCCAAAATTCACATTGGACTTTAAAATCCAATGTGATAGTATTAAGAGGTGGGGTCTGTAGGAGGTGATTAGGTCATGAGGCCTCCTCTCTTGTACATTTTACATTTAGACATATTAAGACAAGGTAGTTGTATGTACAACTATAGAGGTCAGCAAAAAGATCTGGGATAGAGATACAAATTTGAGATTCATCTATAAAATATATAGAGAAAGGAGAGCGTACAAGCAGAACTTTAAGGACAGTCCACATTTAAGGGTCTAAGGTGATGAAGGATGAGCCTACAAAGGTGTTTAAATGGTGTGTTTGCAGGGATAAGAGGAAAAACAAGAGAAATGATTAAGGCCTTCGTAAAGCTTTAAGCCAGGCATGGTGATGTGCACCTGTAGTCCCAGCTACTCAGGAGACTGAGGCAGGAGAATCACTTAAGCCCAGGAGTCTGAGGCCAACTTAGCCAACAGAGCAAGACCTCATCTCAAAAAAATCAAAATTAAAAGAGAAAAAAGAGGCTTCATACAGCTTTCAGCCCTTTTCGCCTTTCCATCCTCCGCCATGTGACGAAACAGCAAGAAGGCACTTGCCACACAAATGCCAGCACCTTGATCTTGGACTTCTCAGACTCCAGGACTGTAAGAAAATAAATGTCTGTTCTTTATAAATTACCCAATCTGTGGTATTTTTTTACAGCAGCATGAACAGACAAAGACACTCATAAAATGTGCTAAGGTAATATATCCTCTTTTTCTACTTTCTGAAACAATCTATATAAAACTGGAAATATTTGTTCTTTGAATCTACATGACAGTTCTGACTTCTTGAATAGTTTAAATGGGTAACATGGTAGAGTATAGTTTTGGCTTAACAATAATAAAATTTTGTAAAATGCATATATGCCCCTCTCTGCATTTGTTTAGAGGCATGGAAATGCATCTGTGGAAATTCATCCCTTCCGACTTCCTTACACCTATACAAAAGCCTGCATTTGATGCCCAGGACTCCAGATCAGTACATTCTGTGACAACTAAGGCACGGTGGAACAAGAGTGCCTTCCAACCACATAAAGGTAGTCCAAGGAGCAACGATTTCCCAAGCCTCCTTTTCCCAGGGAATATTCACAGCAGGTTGGGGAGAAAAGCTACACAATCAGGAAACTTGGCTGAGGCAAGAGTACTCCCATTTAGATAGATAACCATAAATTATTTTACTCATAACCTTCTAGCAACTAGGCTGGTAATACCTGGTAATACATTACAATATCAGGTGAAGCCCATTCCATTCAGCCTTCTCTGATCTACTCATTATCTCTTGACTCTTCATGTTCTTAATGATCTTCCTGATTAGCATTCTGAACCCATTCAAGTCTATTCCAGCTTGAGGAAAGGATATAAATTCCCTTAATAACTACACATCCCTCTTCAAACATTGCCTTATCAATTTTATTTCCCTTCACAACCACACTTCTTGAATGAGTTATCTACATCCAACATCTCTAATTTCTCACTTCCTACTCATTCTTCAATACTCTACAAATATCCCCAGACCTTACCACCCCGTTTAAACCATTCTTGCCACACTGCCAATGTTATGTATAATGCCATTGTAATGAAGCATCACTGCATTTTTAGTCCACCTATCTTTTTTGGCTCCACTGCTCAGCAGCACCTGATAGTACCATTCACTCTTCTGTCCTGGAAGACTTTTCTTGCCATGAAGCCACATTCTCTTGTTCTTCCTCTTATCCCTGCAAACACACCATTTAAACACCTTTGTAGGCTCATCCTCCATCATCTTAGACTCTTAAATGTGGACTGTCCTTAAAGTTCTGCTTGTACACTCTCCTTTCTCTATATATTTTACAGATGAATCTCAAATTTGTATCTCTATCCCAGATCTTTTTGCTGACCTCTATAGTTGTACATACAACTACCTTGTCTTAATATGTCTAAAACTCAGCTTATCTTTCTACTCAGTCTCGCTCCTACCGTTTTCTATTTTGATGATGGTACCACCAAACCCAGGGTCATTCTTGATTTTTCACTTTCTCTCACTCTCTACATTCATTATTCATCAAGCTCTGCCAATTCTACTTCCAAAATACCTATCTTTAATCTGTCAATTCACTTCTACTTCCCCGGGCTCAAGCCACCATCATCCTATAACATCCTCCTAATTGGTCTCCCTTTCATTCAGTTTTGTCCCCCTTGATTAATGTTATATTAATGTAAATATCATATATAGTACCTGTTTTCTGAGTGATAACCCATGTGGGTTTAATGAAATAAATACTGAAGTCAAAAATAACTTTTTTTTTTTTTTTTTTTTAAGATGAAGTCTCGTTCTGTCACCCAGGCTGGAGTGCAGTGGCACGATCTCGGCTCACAGCAACCTCCGCCACCCGGGTTCAAGCAATTCTCCTGCCTCAGCCTCCCGAGTAGCTGGGATTACAGGCATATGCCACCACGCCCAGCTAACTTTTGTTTTTTTAGTAGAGATGGGGTTTCACCATGTTGGTCAGTCTGGTCTCAACTCCTGACCCCAGGTGATCCACCTGCCTCGGTCTCCCAAAGTGCTGGGATTACAGGCGTGAGCCACCACACCCGGCCAAAAATAACTTTTTTAAATGGGTCCTAAACTATCACAAGAACAGAAAACCAAACACCGCATGTTCTCACTCATAGGTGGGAAATGAACAATGAGATCACCTGGACTCGGGAAGGGGGACATCACACACCGGGGCCTATCATGGGGAGGGGGGAGGGGGGAGGGATTGCATTGGGAGTTATACCTGATGTAAATGACGAGTTGTTGGGTGCTGACGAGTTGATGGGTGCAGCATAGCAACATGGCACAAGTATACACATGTAACAAACCTGCATGTTATGCACATGTACCCTAGAACTTAAAGTATAATAATAAAAAAAAAAAAAATGGGTCTTTTCTCTCTTATAATTCTGCAACGGATAAAGTCTAAAATCCTTTCTGTAGTCTACAGGGCACTACTTGGCTGTGACTGCCTCCCTCCTCAGTATCATCTGCACAATTCTCCAGTCTTATTGGAGTTTTGGACTCAGGCTTGCCACGCTTTCTTTCACCTTCAGGTCTTCACACTTACTGTTCTCTTGGTCTGGATTACTTTTCTTTATCTCTTTTTATATCTTCCTGGAGTTCAGTTTAAATTTCGTTTCCTCTGGAAAGTTTTTCTACACAGTTTCCCCTCCAGCCTCCTTCCATATATTACCCAAATATTCCTTTAATTCCTCAATCATACCTACTTTACTCATTATTATAATTATTTGCTAAATTATCTGTTTTCTTTGACTGTTAGCTCCAGGCGAGTAGGAATTAGTCTTGCTCACGAGGACATTCCTGGCACCCAGCAGAACACCTGGCCTAGAAGGCACCAAATGAATATTGGATGAATAAATCTATGAATCCATCAAGTAAGTAAATGGTTCATACTATTATTGCTATCATCATTATAAGGCACATGATAGGGTCCTGTCTACCAGTTTGGAGTTGCATTGATGAAAACTATCAATTGCAATAATTTCAGCAAGAAGTTTTACTAGGGGAAGAATATGTTCTATTATCACATATTATTTACTGACAGTCTCCTGGCTGGTAGTTACTCCTTGGAGAGTCGGAATGCTTTAAGAAGAGAAAAATATTAAGTAGGAAGAAAATCTATGTTAATACCATTTACTATCTAGTCTTAAAGGAACATTATCTCCTGACCTCGTGATCCACCCACCTCGGCCTCCCAAAGCACTGGGATTACAGGTGTGAGCCACCATGCCTGGCCAAGAACACAAAATTTAAAGTTTGGAAAACTAGGTTTCTGTCATGGCTCAAAAACATGTAACTGTGTGACCTGGGATTCCATCTACCTCAAAGGCTTAGATACAGCTGTTGTAAAGGTCAAATAAAGTAATGTACATGAAAATACTTTAGGCCAGTCACAGTGGCTCACACCTGTAATCCCAGCACTTTGGGATGCCAAGGCGGGAAGACTGCTTGAGTTCAGGAGTTCAAGACCAGACTGGCCAACATGGTGAAACCCCATCTCTACAAAAACTACAAAAAATAGCTGGGCATATTGGCATGTGCCAGCAGTCCCAGCTACTCAGGAGGCTGAGGTGGCAAGATCACTGGAGCTTGGGAGGCAGTGCTGGAGTACACTGTGATCAGCAGTGAGCCAAGATCACACCACTGCACTCCAGCCTGGGCAACAGAGAGAAATTCTGTCTCAAGAAGAAAAAACAAAAACAAACAAACAAAAACCTTTATTCTATAAATAATGTGTTATTCTCATTTGAGTTTGATAAACAGCTTGATTATATTAACAGGATATTTCTACATGGTATAAAGAACCTAGGACTCAGAAAAATATGTGAACACAATTCTGCTACTTGCTTCCTTATAAAATCTTGGTCAGTCATTAAACCTTTCTAAACCTCATTATTCTTACCTGTTCACCTGAGATAAAAATACCTACTCTGCCTTTCTCACAAAAGTTATTCCTAGGCTTGAATTTTAAAAATAACCTTAAAAGTTTAAAGTAAGACACTTTGGATTAATAATAAGAAATTGGCCAGGTGTGGTGGCTCACACCTGTAATCCCAGCACTTTGGGAGGTCGAGGCGGGAGGATCCCTTGAGCTCAGGAGATCAAGACCAGCCTTGCAACACAGTGAGACCTCATCTCCAATAAAAAAGTTCAAAAAAAAATTAGCCAGGATTGGTGGCACACGCCTGTAGTCCCAACTATATAGGGGGCTGAGGTGGGAAGATCGTCTGAGACCAGAGGTGAAGGTTGCAGTGAGCCAAGATCACGCCACTGGACTCCAGCCTGGGTGACAGAGTAAGACCCTGTCTCAAAAAAAAAAATAGGAAGAAGAAATGGAAATTTTTCTAATCTAACCCACCAGAAGCAAAGCTCTAAAGCTAAGTGATAAGATGCTATTCTCTAAAAACTAACCCACCCCCAATACTCCATCCCTATCATTCCTCCCCAAATATTCAAAGTATATTGCTTTAACAGTCTCCAAAATTTTATTACCATTTGGATCCCTCAAATTGATACATTTTGATACTTTCTGCCAACGATATTTCCCAAAGAGCTTTAAGTAATATTTGACTATACTGAATAAAATAAAATATATTAAACTATATTCTGAAGTTACAATGAAAGTTGTACATACCAAATCCCAGAGAAATAACCAGTCACTCTCTTTCACTTGTCCACAAAGCAAACTTCTAAAGGTATTACATAAAACACGAAATGGTGCCATTCATGGCCGGACATGGTGGCTCACGCCTGCAATTCCAGCACTTTGGGAGGCCGAGGCTGGTGGATCACCTGAGGTTGGGAGTTTGAGACCAGCCTGATCAACATGGAAAAACCCCGTCTCTTCTAAAAACACGAAAATTAGCTGGGTGTGGTGGTGCATGCCTGTAATACCAGCTACTCAGGAGGCTGAGGTAGGAGAATCGCTTGAACCCAGGAGGCGGAGGATGCAGTGAGCTGAGATTGTGCCATTGCACTCCAGCCTGGGAAACAAGAGCAAAACTCCGTCTCACACACACACACACACACAGACACAAAACACGAAAGGGTGCTATTCACACAGATGAGGATTCACTGCCTATATGCACTACTCATTATTCACAATGACTAAAGCCATAAAATATTTCCACAGAAAAGACAAAGGCCAAGTGTCCAAAGGCAGTAACCACTACCCCCACAAGTAAATATGCAAGCCAGGAGTCACAAGGCTGGTCCTTGTCCTTTATGTCAACAGTCACCAGCATGGAGATGACTATGGGTCAAAGCTGTCTCTGCCTGAGGCAACTCCCTCCCTGGGACTCTGAGCCTCACTCGCTTTCTATTGAATTCTCACACTATACATAATACATATTGATTCCCACTGCAGTAGCAGCACTCTTCCCAGAGAAGGAAATTAACAGACTCTAAGAAACATAACTCAATAATCCACTCCACTGGAAGTGGATAGAGAACTGGGTTTTGGAGACAACAACTTTTCAACTAACATTTAAAATCAACGAGGCAAGCTGCTGTGCTCACGCCTGTAATCCCAACACTTTGGGAGGCCATGGCGGGAGAATCACTTGAGCCCAGAGTCTGAGACCAGCCTAGATAACATAGTGAGAACTCGTCTCAAGAAAAACAAACAAACAAAAAAGTCAAGGAGAAAAAAAGGTATTCTCTGCCACTAAAAGATCATATGTCTCTTTATATAACTCATAATTAAACCCACATAGTGTAACTAACATAAATAACACTGTTTGGGGTGAGGGTAGGAGTGGTGAACATTCTAGGGCCTACTCAGAATCCACTGCTGATGACAATACCATTGTTAAAAGACAAAATTACAACAGATTTAGTTTAAAGATCAAACTGACTTTCAGTTTAAAGATCAAACCGACTTTTGTTTGCAATTCTGTAACATCTCATTCTTTAAAATAGAATGCATGTTCTGCTGAGCTAAGCAGAGGGGGCTGGCTTTCTAAGCAGAAAAGGGGTTAAGAAAGCACCAACAGGGAATAAAAAGCAGATTATTCATTACAAAGTTACTCTCCTTACAGAGTTAAAACAGAACTTTCTTATCATTCTGGCTCAGGTAAACTGGGTCACCTCTGATTACAGTGAATTTCATGGTTTTGTTGTTGTTGTTTTTTAAACGAGCCTGTTTCAGTTCAGTTTGATTACATGGCCAAATAA